TTTCCGGTGCCAGAAGCGGAACATTTCACTATACGTATGTTACAATATTGTTACAAAACAACTCCTTCTCGATACCAGAAGTGGAACATTTCACTCTAAATTTGTTACAATATTGTTACAAAACAACTCCTTCTCGATACCAGAAGTGGAACATTTCACTCTACGTATGTTACAATATTTGAATAATATTTCTGGAAGCCGAGGTCATGGGGAGAGTCAACTGTTAAATTCTCAGTGTATGTTATATATACAGTTATTCATTAAAAACACATTCAAATGTCAGGATCGTGTGGGACAGCATATCAAATTTATTTATAATAACAGCACATTTTAAAAACTTTGAACCATCTTTTTATCAGAAAAATGGATCTACCTGAATCAAACGTAACGTTCTCGTAACCTGCTATGACTTCCATTGAAGACAACGATGGAGCAGAAGCTTGTTCAGTTTCGTCTTGGATCGGCTGAGAAGCGCCCTCTAATTTTAAAGACAATTAAAAACATGATCACGTTAATCGAAAGTGATGCTTTTATTCCTGGAGAGAAACAGTAGCTAGAATATGTTAAGTTTGTATGATGTCACATGAAACAGTAATCCAGTCCCTACCCATAGAACCTGAGGTCAGTATGATGTCACACGAAACAGTAATCCATTCACTACTCACAGAATCTGACGTCAGTATAATGTCACACGAAACAGTAATCCAATCACTACCCATAGAATCTGACGTCAGTATGATGTCACACGAAACAGTAATCCAATCACTACCCATAGAACCTGACGTCAGTATAATGTCACACGAAGTAGTAATCCAATCACTACCCATAGAACCTGAGGTCAGTATGATGTCACACGAAACAGTAATCCATTCACTACCCACAGAATCTAACGTCAGTATAATGTCACACGAAACAGTAATCCATTCACTACCCACAGAATCTGCGTCAGTATAATGTCACACTAAACAGTAATCCAATCACTACCCATAGAATCTGACGTCAGTATGATGTCACGCAAACAGTAATCCAATCACTACCCATAGAATCTGACGTCATATCTGTTAACTACACGAAAACAGTCAAACAGAAAATTACACAATGTCGTTAAACGTTAAAATTGGAATATTTCAATGCACGTTTAGTGTCAATGAAAAAAACAATAATTAAAATTGAAAGAACGAAGTATTAGTAGTAATTGATAATAAAGCGAAGAAGGCCATATAAAATAAAATGTTTTCAAACAAACTAACTTCATCTATATAAATTAAAACAGAACACAAAACCCTCATATACAACCTTAAATATATTGCCAAATACTTGCATATAATGACTGCTTGTCCATTTCGACAACAAATACAGATGATTCAGTACGCTATATTAAAACGATACAATAAACAAGTGACAATCAAAATAAAACTGCGATAGAACGTCATGCATCAGAATTACATTTTAACATAATTTGTGTGATGCCACCGAAAATTTTGGGATTGGTATATAACAGCCCTTTCTGGCGCAAAATATTCATATCATAAAGATTTGTTTAGATCGAGAATTTAGACAAGGATATCCCTTGTACATAATGATATTAGAAAGAAAATGAATATGGATCAACCTAGGGTCCCAGGACCATCGAGAGAGAGACCTGCAATAAGTAATACCATAGCATTGATAAGCAAAGTGCGGTGTCTTGTAACAGGTCAGAATCCATAAACACTAAAGTTATTAGCGAAAACCGCCCAACGAATAGTGGGATTGACCTTCACACTCTAACGCCCCCACTACTAAAGGGGCGAACATGTTCGGTGACTGGATTCGAACCTTGGTTATCAAGAGACAGCATGCTAATTAACATCCTAAAACACGTTATCACTACAGAACTAAACTTTGACAATAGTCTGTATAATCAAACAGTAGCCTAGCATCAGCGATGATTCATGTTCATGAGTACTGTAAAAACTAGTCAAATGTAGAGTAGAAAAATGACTCCAGTATGTTTTCACCCTAGCCACTCTCCATGTGAAGGCCAGATTGCATATGGCCAAAAAAACGGCTAATTTGGCTTATTCTGAAAACTATACTAGCAAGAAAAAATAAGATAAAGTTAAAGATTTTGAAGAGTGTACTATAAACTATAATTAGCAGCTTTATATCACTCTAAATGTTTTATTCAGCATATCAACAATATGTTCAATTAAAACATTGACTGTGATGGAGAGTTGGAACAATATGTTCAATTAAAACGATGACTGTGATGGAGATTGAACAATATGTTTCATTAAAACAATGACTGTGATGGAGATTGAACAATATGTTTCAGTAAAACATTGATGATGGAGATTTTGAACAATATGTTCAATTAAAACGATGACTGTGATGGAGATTGAACAATATGTTTCATTAAAACAATGACTGTGATGGAGATTGAACAATATGTTTCAGTAAAACATTGATGATGGAGATTTTGAACAATATGTTTAGAAAGGAGACTAAATTGGTTGTTCTTCTGAAAAATGGGCAAGTTAATTCATGAAAATATCAATTGATAATATGGTGTTGCCAATGTAACTGGGCATCTCAACCACTAATATGTCTGTAGCCACTGTTATGTCTGTAGTCACTGCTACATCTGTAGCCTCTACTATGTCAGTAGCCACTACTATGTCTGTAGCTACTGCTATATCTGTAGCCTCTACAATGTCAGTAGCCATTACTATGTCTGTAGCATCTACTATGTCTGTAGCCTCTACTATGTCAGTAGCCATTACTATGTCAGTAGCCACTACTAAGTCTGTAGCTCGACTATGTCTGTAGACACTGTTATGTCTGTATCCACTACTATGTCTGTAGCCACTACTATGTCTGTAGCCTCTACTATGTCTGTAGCCTCTACTATGTCTGTAGACACTGTTATGTCTGTATCCACTGCTATGTCTGTAGCATCTACTATGTCTGTAGCCTCGACTATGTCTGTAGCCTCAACTACGTCTGTAGCCTCTACTATGTCTGTAGCCTCTACTATGTCAGTAGCATCTACTATGTCTGTAGCCACTACTATGTCTGTAGCTCGACTATGTCTGTAGACACTGCTATGTCTGTATCCACTACTATGTCTGTAGCCTCTACTATGTCTGTAGCCACTACTATGTCTGTAGCCTCTACTATGTCTGTAGACACTGCTATGTCTGTAGCCACTGTTATGTCTGTATCCACTACTATGTCTGTAGCCACTGTTATGTCTGTATCCACTACTATGTCTGTAGCCACTGCTATGTCTGTAGCCTCGACTATGTCTGTATCCACTACTATGTCTGTAGACACTGCTATGTCTGTAGCCTCGACTATGTCTGTAGACACTGCTATGTCTGTAGCCTCGACTATGTCTGTATCCACTGCTATGTCTGTAGCCACTTATGTCTGTATCCACTGCTATGTCTGTAGCCACTGTTATGTCTGTATCCACTACTATGTCTGTAGCCTCGACTATGTCTGTATCCACTGCTATGTCTGTAGCCACTGTTATGTCTGTGTCCACTACTATGTCTGTAGCCACTACTATGTCTGTAGCCACTGTTATGTCTGTATCCACTACTATGTCTGTAGCCACTACTATGTCTGTAGCCACTGTTATGTCTGTAGCCACTACTATGTCTGTAGCCACTATTATATCTGTAGCCACTACTATGTCTGTAGCCTCTACTATGTCTGTAGCCTCGACTATGTCTGTAGCCTCGACTATGTCTGTAGCCACTGTTATGTCTGTAGCCACTACTATGTCTGTAGCCACTACTATGTCTGTAGCCTCGACTATATCTGTAGCCTCTACTATGTCAGTAGCCACTACTATGTCTGTAGCCTCTACTATGTCAGTAGCCACTACTATGTCAGTAGCCACTACTAGGTCTGTAGACACTGCTATGTCTGTACCCACTACCAGGTCTGTAGACACTGCTATGTCTGTAGCTTCTACTATGTCTGTAGCCACTACTATGTCTGTAGCCTCTACTATGTCTGTAGCCACTACTATGTCTGTAGCCTCTACTATGTCTGTAGCCACTACTATGTCTGTAGCCACTACTATGTCTGTAGCCACTACTATATCTGTAGCCTCTACTATGTCTGTAGCATCTACTATGTCTGTAGCCTCTACTATGTTTGTAGCCACTGCTAATGTCTGTAGCCACTACTATGTCTGTAGCCACTACTATATCTGTAGCCTCTACTATGTCTGTAGCATCTACTATGTCTGTAGCCTCTACTATGTTTGTAGCCACTGCTAAGACTGTAGCCACTGCTATGTCTGTAGCCTCTACTATGTCTGTAGCCTCTACTATGTCTGTAGCCACTACTATGTCTGTAGCCTCTACTATGTCTGTAGCCACTACTATGTCAGTAGCCTCTTAGTAGTTCAGTGGTAAGTCTATTGGCTCACGGGTTTTGATACTGGTAGTGGGCACAGCACGGGTAGCCTTGTGCTTAAAAACAAACGAAACTACGTCTGTCGTATCCCAGCCGGCCTGAAGAGCCTGATATTGAACGAAAATCCTCGTCGGCATTAGATATAGCAGGTATAGTGTGGTTAACATATTAATATACACTCTTCTTTACTCAGAAGTTGTTATTATTATTATTACTATAGTTTTCTACCGTTGCGATGTGGCCATTTGACCCGCTTCGGGATCAAGAAGATAGTTCGCGAGTTCTTCTGAATAAAAAACAGATTAATTTAAGAAATCAATAATACGTGTTGTTAACATAAATAATTAATATATAGTGTCAAGTTTCATTAAAACGCTGATATTATCCACACATATATTTTATTGTTGTTCGTTTAATTCTCTTAAAATAAGCAATAAAATGTATTTATATCACCGAACATCGTGTACATTCAAAGTGAATTCTGAATACGAAGAAAATTATTTATGTATAACTTTATTCAAAGTATTATTTCAACTACTAAAGATCCTCTCTAATACCTGTAAGCCCTGGGGTCGCTGTATGCTCTTTGGATGAAGTGGGATAATCCCCTACAGATGTCGCTGAATACATCTCCGAGCTGAGTAAAATAAACATATTTTTAAAGAGTGTACTTCCAGTTACAAATCAACAAATCCTTTACACTAACAAAAGCAGTTATAAGTAATTATACACTGTTATTCTTATAAGCCTAACATTTGATTTTCTTACAGTATAATACACACAAATTAAAATAATAATAATACAAGTATATGGAAATAAATATGGTCTTCAGATTCTATTCAGTTTATTTTAGTTAAATATCAGTGTTTGGTTTTACTAACGCTAGGAGAGACTAACGAACGAAGTGTATTAGCGTTAGAAGAATGAATACTCTTACCCTGTTACGAATATTAGCAACAGTCAAGTACTAGCCAGGAATGGGTCGGATTTCAACAGTTTTAAAACCAGGCTTCAATAAAAAACCTGTTACGTGATAATAAGGCCACCACCTAATGTCCAGTACACGTCCACCTCTCGCCTTACACTTACACGTCACCCACAGGAGGAAGTTGTTGGCGCGCTTTGCTTACAAATAAGATTTCACCACGACTAGTAACTTGTACTGAATAACCTTTGTAGTGAACAACCGGTAGGCGTAACTCTAATGTAAGCCTTTTTGTTGGTAACTTACTCACGTGATTTCTCTTTGTACTGAACTTTGAACCAGAAAACGATAAGTAAGTTTAAAGAACAACTTGACGGAAGATAATTCTTTTATAAACGTCAATTGTCTCGATAGAACACGAGCCTCATAGAAAGATAAATGTTTTTGTTTAAAGAAAAGATCGAGTCGGTTTCTCTCTGGGTCAGACGTGAAACTAATTAGTGGGGCAGCCGCTCTACTCAAGCCTAATATTTTCTTTTTTGAAATGTAAAACGTCTCATTAGTAGGCTACGTTTATGGGAAATTATGAATATTAATTTATACAAAGTACAATACCTTTCTTTTCTTTTTGCTCCTCTCTTAACCCCCTAGTTCTTAGATAGTTATTACAGTTGATTGTGAACGCCTAAATTATCTACGTCATCAACAGTTAATGTATTTTGTAGAAATTAAGGTTCAGCTTTGCCCCACACCCTCCCCCAGATTTTGCTGAAATGGCGATACTGTTGGAGTTGTTGTTTTCTATCCAATACATCGGATCAAAATTAGGGACTGCTATGAGCGGATGAATGTAGGAAAAAATTCACAATTTTAAAAATTTGTGTTTATAATTTTTTTAAGTTCATGTGATGATTGACTTCATATATGCCTGAAAAGTGCACTTGACTTTGTATTATATATAAATATAGCTGTCGTGTTAACACTGTGTGTAGAGTGCTATTTGATAAAAAAAAGCACGACATTATGTATCTTAATGAAGAAATGCTTAGATTAGATGATGAGTTAGTAAATTCAGTAGTCATCTAGGACTGTAATTCGGACTGATCTCACGTGAGGTCAGGTCAGATGTTCTTCAGGTAGTGTTAAGCCAGACGAGTAGCCTTGTTCCTCCTTTACTTTTATATATTAAGGCGTCAAGAAATTAATGTCGCGTTTTGGAACACTTTCATTAACCACCCTCTCAAAAAACGTACGTCACGTATAATAGTTAAACGAACCGCCTAAACGTCACTTTAGTGTAACCTATATAATGTGTAAAGTTTAGTATACTCTAATCCCTTATAGTGATGGCACACGACAAGACAT